CCAAGTTCCTGAATTGTAGGTGGTGACGAGGAGCCCCCCACACAGCTCGACCTCCACTCACACTTTGAGTCCTTCCGTCTAAACTTGCTTCTCTTGAATTTCTTATGTCACAGAATCAGCAAGTCAGAAACTGAGGGAGAGACCTTACTGCCTACCTTCTCCAGACTGTTCTGAGGGCAGAGAGAGTGGGCTCTCTAAAACGCCACCTGGGCCAGCTCCTTCTTTACATCTGGGGGGCTTTCCTCCTCTGCGCACTCATCACCATTCCGCCCCCACTGCTCCCCCCGGGGCAGGACCCAGCCCTGATGAGCAAGCCAGGCCTATCCAGTCCTTGCCAGGTCCCTCTGGGTGGGTGATGACCTTCCCCTCTTAAATGCTAGGCTCAATGGTCTCACACATTTTAGCCGCAGGACCTCATTTACACTCTTAAAAATTATTGAGAACCCTAAAAGCTTCTCTTTTTTTGTCAGTTAGAGCTATTAATATTTACTGTATTTGAAATTAAAACTGATCAAATCGAAAATGATTATTTTAAAACAATAAGAAACCCATGACATGTTGGCAGAAACATTTTTATGAAAAATAACCATAATTTCCAATACAAAACATAACTAGAAGAGTGACGTTGTGATACATTTTTGCAAATCTCTTCCGTGTCTGGCTGAGTGGAAGCTAGCTGGGTCTCCCCTCTGTTGCACTGCCTGTCCTGAAATCACTGGAGCCTCTGGAAACTTCCACTGTCCACTCCCGAGGGAGTGAGTGAAAAGGCAAATGGCATCTTTGTGTATTCGGACAACAGTTTTGACTCTGTGGACCCTGAAAGGGTCTCCCAGACCTCCAGAAGTCTCCTGACCACGGCGAAAACAGCTGGCCGTTTTTTAGAATATTTGGCCATGATTTGCTTTGTCTGGCACTGGTTGCTCTTCATTTCTAATTCTTTTTCCACCAGTTAATTTCTGCTGTGCTGATTGTCATTGATAAATGTTGCAAATGACCTAGATCGCAAACATAGAGGAACATAAGTAACTCCCTAAACCAAACCAATGGAGCCGTTTAAAAAATACTTTTTTCTTATTTCTATTCCGTATCTTCCCAAATACCATAAAACCAGAAAATGGTGAAGACTCAATCTCTTATACCCAAAGACCTCATTGTTAACACTTGTGTCTAACCTTAGACCACCTCCCCTCCCCACCTCCGTAAGAGGCACCCCCACCTGTGGCAGGCGGAATAACTCCCCCCTCATCCTGAAGCTACCCAATGCACTCATCCCTGGAACCTACAAATGTGTCACCTTACATGGCAAAAGGGACTTTGTAGATGAGATTAAGGTTAAGAATCTTGAAATAGGGAGAGTATCTTGGATTAAATACGAGGCATATGCCTGGGTCCCAGAAATATGCGAGGATAGGCCTGGCGTGAACTTTGGGTTATTTTCTATGCATCTGTGCATCCACTCTGTGCATAACTGTGTGGTTTTGTCTTCCTCCTGCTTCCCTCCTTCCCTTTCTGTCCACACCTTCCTCTCTCTGCCTCTCTCAGGGTGCAGAGGGGACAGCTGTAGAAACCAGCAGTTAGTCCATCATGGTTGAGCTGGCTTCCTGGGAAAAAGCTCCGTTCCAGAACTCTTTCTGGAACAGCCGATCTGTGTCAGGTGCTATGCTCAGGTCTAGGGACACAGGTGAATAAAACACTCCCCCTAATTTAGACTCACAGGGTTTTAAGATGAGAATGGGACCACAGGAGTCAATCGGCAGTTCAGTAAGTTTGAATGAGCACCTATCAGGATCCAGGAGGGACATAAGGAAGTAAATACCCATAAGGGACCTGACCGAAAACTAGACCAAGGCGCACAGGAAACCATGGTGGTGGCTGTCACAGAGACCGAGGGCTTTGGGGATCTGAAGAGGGCAGCCGTTCCACTACCTGCTGAGTCAGGACTCGGCGGAGGCATCGCAAAGAACTTGAAACTGTCTCTGCGATGAGTTAACGACACCCGCGGAGCCAGCTTTCTCATCCATTCTTAGTGGGAGCAGAAACTGGGGTGCTTCTCAAAGGTGAAGATTTGGCACAACCCACCCAAATGAAGGCTGCCAATATCCTGTGACCCAGCAACCGACCTGCTGGGAATCAAGCCTGTGGATTTGGTCGCAAGCGTTTGTTCAGATACCTGCGTAACGGTGTTCACTGCAATTGTCTGTGAAAGCACAGGAAACAAGCAAAGAGGTTACCCGCAGGTGTCAGGTTAAAGAAAGCAGGTGCCTCTGTGCCAGAAGCTCTGCAGCCCGGGGAGAGTGGGGCAGGTGGGTCTGTACTGCTGTGGGAAGATAACTCAGGTATATTATTAGGTGGAAAAAGCAAGATGCCGAACTGCGGAGATTATAATTTCATTTCTTTGAAGGATTTTAATGGGGGCAGGAGGTGGACATGCTGGTCCCTGCATATGAAGTAGGTGGCTGGGGAGCCCAAGAAGCTTTCATACTGGTTTCCTGTGGGGAAAGCCGTGGGAAAGAGAGAACATGCATTCTGTTCCTATGTGTATCTTCTGTTCTTCTGGACTCATCTGAGTGTCATGGGCTGAATTGTGTCCCCTCCAAATTTTATGTGTTGAAGTCCTAACCTCTAGTACCTCAAAATGTGACTGTGTTTAGGGATATTGTCTTTAAAGAGGTAATTATGTCAAACTGAGGTCATGCGGGTGGGCCTGATCCAATGTGACTGTCTTCTTTATAAGACGAGGTTTGGACACGGGGAGAAGGTGGCCAAGGAGAGAGGCCTCGGAAGAGAAGCCGACACTGCCAACATCTTGATCTTGGACTTCTGGCCTAAAGAACTGTGAAAAAACATAAATTTCTATTGTTTAAGCCACCCAGTCTGTGGTAATTTGATATGGCAGCCCTAGCAGACTAATAGACCATGTGAATATATTTATATAAACTTCAGCGGAGGTGTTTTTTTGTTTTGTTTTGTTTTAACATTTTTGTATTAAAAAAAACAAACCATGTGTTATGTTAAAGAATGAATTGGGCTTGGCCTAGTGAGGGGGGGCGGGGTGGAGGGCAAAGCGGGCAGAGTAGGGAGAAGCACAGAAGTGGAAGGTCCTGGCGCCTCGTGCGGTGGGCGGCGGTTGGAGGAGAGTCGCCTTAATGAGATCCGAGCCTGCGGGAGTTGTTCAAGGGCGGGCCCTGTGGGCCTCTAGGTTCTGGCGGGGAGTCTGGTCTTGATCTTGAAGGTGGTGGGGACCTGTTGGGGGGTTTTATGCAGGGAGAGACATGGGCTGATTATTGTGTGGAATGGCCCCTGAAGGGAACAGGAGTGGTTAACTCATCACAGGAGGCAGACACCAGACAGGAATCTATTCCTAAAGTTCCAGGAGTGTCACTGAGAGCCTGAACTTGTGTCAGGTGATGGGCAGGGAATTCGGATCTAGACTGCCCGGGTTTGAATCTCGGCGTGGCCACTGAGTAGCTGTGTGACCTCAGGCCAGGTGTTTAACTTCTCTGTGCCCCAACTTCCTGGCTGCAGGGCGGGGATAATGGGGTTACCTACCTCAAAGGCTGTAGTGAGGGTTAACTGGGCTGATTTGTGTTACAGACATTAACAGTGTTTGCATTGTCATCTGGCCGGGTTTGCTAAATTTGTGGTTCACCCACAAATGGCTGGACGCTGGATGTATGATATATGTTTAATCCATTCTAGTGAGGTGATGGAGAAGGCATGCAGTCCCAGCACACTGGATGATCTTTGATTAGAAAACGGACATGAGTGTCTCAAGGCCACATGATTAGGAAGGTAGTGGACCGGAATATGAACCCAATTCTGTCCGGCTCCAAAATCTGTGTTCTTAACACTTACGCTGTGTGACCTAGCCTGGGGCCTGGTACTTAGTAACACCTCAATGAATGGTTTTTAAGCGAGTCACCTGCATTGACAAGCTCTTGCTTACGTAGTGCCAGCAAGAACTGGTATTCACGACATTTGGGAAAACAAAAATAAACCAACAAAAAGCAGGATAAAACGCTCTCGATGTTGGAGAATCTCTGGGGTTCCCGAGGATCAGGCACAGAAATATCTGTAGGATAATTTCTCTCTAAGAGAGCTGCGATGTGGTGTCTCATCTCACCGGGAAGCGTATCATAGAGTCGACCAGCTGGAGTGTGACCCTGTGCGTCTCTGTAAGTTTCAGGGCATTGTGCTTCATTCCAATGGCATTGCTGCTGAGCTGACTCAGTAGCTCACCAGTCACCACACGCCGCTAGCCTGAGAATGTCAGTTGTTCAGTACAAACACGAGGTTACAAAATCAGGCTTCTGGAGCCTGACAGATCTAGTTGCAAACTCCAGCTCCATTAGTTTCTAGCCATCGATCTTTGGGCATTTAGCTTCTTTAAACTTTAGTTGCCCCATCTGTAAAAAAAGGAAAGAGAGAATCAATAAAGACATCTAACTCTGAATTTTACTAATAAAAATTAGCATCACTGTAAGTTTCCAAAAAGCTGGAAAGGAATACAATACATGTCTCTTAAACCACTAAAATAGGTATCATCTGGACACCAAAGCTTGTATGTTCTACGATAGATGAGCACATGCTTCTGGCCTTCACTGAAAGTTTCAATATTCTTATTTTGGTTTCTTAGCCTATAGCTCACATGCCCCCTTTGAATTAACTTCACTTAAGAAAGCAGGGGTGCGTGTAATCTATTTTCAAATACATTTATTCAAACAGATTCAGATTTTATAGGTTGGATCTCATGAGAGAATTGAAAAGACACATACTGGTCTCCGCCCCAGTTCCTGGCACAGAGTTCTGAAAAACTTTGGAAATCCCTAAGTGTTAGGAGCACTAGGAACATCTTTTGTTCTGGTATTTGGTCTTTGACCCCGATTTCTGACACAGGGCTCCTAAATCCCTTGGAATTTCCCGGGTGTTAGGAGTGTCTTTTGTTCTAGTGAGGTAACTCCTGGATGAGGACCAGTTGCCACAAAGACCAAGACGTGATTAGAAACTTGGACTTTTCAGCCTCACTCTGTACCCTCCCTCCCCCTGCCATTCTCCAGAGAGGGGAGAGAGGTCGGAAATGGAGTTAATGATCGATCATGAGGAAGCCGCCATAAAATCCCCAAAATATGGGGTCTGGAGAGCTCCCAGATTGGTGAACACATCCACATAGGGAGGGGGACACACCCCAACGTCATGGGGTAGACGCTCTTGCACTAGAGCCCCTCCCAGACCTGGCCTCAAGTGTCTCTTCATCTGGCTGTTCGTCGGTGTCCTTTAAGATGTCCTTTAATAAGCTGGCAAACGTAAATAAGTGTTTCCTTGAGCTCTGTGAGATGTGCTAGCGAATTAATCGAACCTGAGGACGGGGTCGTCCAAGTCGAACAGGAGTTGTGAGTAACGTGGGGACTTCCTACTTGCCATTGGCATCTGAAGTGGGGAGCAGTCTCCTGGGACTGAGCCCTTAACCTGTGGGGTCTGACGCTATGTCCACCAAGCTAAACGGTAGGACAGACAGACCCCTAGCTGGTGTCGCAGAACTGCTCGATGTGGAGAACACCCACGGGTCTGGTGTAAGAAGAGTTGTGAGTGTGGGGGTGCTGTGGGAGGCGGGGAGAAACAGGAGGAACCCTGGGGCTTTCCAACCCAGGTCTTCATGCCCCTCGACCTGTGTGACAGACACTATAATTTAAGAAGGCTGTGGGATTCTAGGGAGAGAATGTGCATAAGCTTTGGATTCTGACCAAGTTCACTGCCAAAGAACACACGAGAAACGCTTATTAAGTCTCTTCGTTTAGGACATGTCAAATTGTCTGTGACTCACCGCTCTGTCCTGGGCCTTTGATTCTATTAATCCCAGTGGGAGAGAAGTTTCAGGACACCCAAAGACTGAGACTGGTCAGAGACTCTTTGTCTCCATTGAGGACAAAGCTAAGTGATATTCACCTATTGCCCATACCACTTCCAGCCCTCTGCCCAAGACACGTGAATTAAAATGTAGATTTCATTATTGTTCAGGTATGGCGAGACACACAGACCAGGAGATGACTGCCATTTGCCATTGAAATAATGGCTGGTTACTCGCATTTCTCAGGGAAGAGGGCGCATTGCACTGTGCAGGGCCACACGGGGAAGCACCAGAGTCAGGAGGCAGAGAGCGTGGGAGGAAAACATGGCAAGAGCCTGGATTGTGGTTTCTGCGGGAGGCAAGGATAAGGCAGGGCAAGAGGCTTAGCATAGACTTGTCTGGATAATCTCAGCAGACTCTGGGGTGTAGGGCTGTCTGGCACCTGGCCCTGGGGTGATTAGGGTGGGGGAATACTGGCCTGGAGGGCGAGAGTCCTGTGAGAGCCCAACGAAGGAGGTGAGTGGGGTGTGGGCTCCGCGTGGCTTGGTCTGCATGTGAAAGGAACACTCACTTGCAGGTAGATCTCTTCCTATGTGGAGCAAGTGGCTATCCCTGGGAGGGGCAGTCTCTTCCGAGGTCAGCAAGGCCCCAAGATGTCCAAGCACCAGAAAATACAGAAAATAAAAAAGTGTGATGAATACAGTAGGGGCAGCAGCCTTGTCCCTGTGATGGGCTCAGGGCAGTTAGTCTGCCATGCACGGCCGAGCTCTGTGCCTCCATCAGGTGACTCTGCTTCAAAGGTGCAAGATGTCCTGAGTCCTGTATGCCTTCCTTGGACCTGTCCCCACTGGCCTACGTCATTTGCAGTACAGAGCAGCAGGGCTGGCGGTTAACTGTCTATTCTCAAACAGAAACATAGCTCTCAGACAATGCCGTCTGCGGAATGCGAAGGCTTTTGTAAGAATGTCTTTAGGTGGTGCATTTCCTCCTGCCTTATAGTCATTTTTGTTTGTTCGTTCACTTTCCAGAAAAAAAAAAGCACCGAGATTGATGGACTTGCTTCAAGGCTCATTAATTCTATTTGTTTCCTAAGAGGAGGAGCTGTCACCAGTGCCATCCCCCATCCCCCTGCCCCCGTTCTAAACTGAACTCTGACCCCGGCTGGGGTGAGGAGAGGTGGCGAGAACCTTGCTTACACACACCTCTTTCTTATGGGAAGGGCTTTGTCACTGGCCCTTCTCTAGGGTCCGGGGGGACTTTGAGGCCTGAATGAAGCGAAGACAGGAGCCCCGTTCCAGGCAGGAGGCATGCAGACCTGCTCCTTCCCCAGGAGATGCTGCAATGAGGCAGGAACCAGCCAGCAGTTTTGTGTCTGGGACGAGCGGTAGACGATCTTCCCAACCTCATTTGGTGAACGGACATTATTCATTAGTATGGTAAGTCACTCATTCGGCATTGCTTTCTCTGTTCATGTATATATCTGAAAATAATAACAATATTTAATAGTTGCATCACCATTGCTAGAAAGTATTTCTAAATACCTATCATTTAATTTTTATTTAGAATATTAATTTCATTTATATAGTTATGGCAACATAAGCTGATTTTCTACAGAGCATCTGTCGGGGAGAAAAGTCAGTACAAGCCCCAATAGAGCCTCTGTCCACTTCCCCCAGCCCCCTGGACTCCTAGCATTGGTGTGTAGAAGCAGAGAGTGAGTCTCACAAATCCTCGAGGCCGACAAGTTCACTGGACACCCCATGGGACCTTGGAAACGCTGGCCCGGCCCAGGTAAGAGAGCAGGTAAATGTGTCTCTGCTCTAAATGACAGGGCGGAGCCAGCAGGAAGAGGGGAGAGTGTCTGATGAGAAGAGGCCAGGCAGGAAGTGAATGACCTGCTTCGTCCTCCCAGAGCCTTTGGAGAGAAAGTTAGGGATAGACTGGCCGAAGCTCTGTGAAGAGTGTCAGGAAGACGCCAGGCTGAGACAGAAGACGCTGACGGTTACTTCCACCACCTGCTCCCTCTTTTAAAGAGGGTGATTTTTAAGGGGAGAGAAGGTTGATCATCTTCCTGGAACTGCGATGTGTGCCAGACTGCGAACTCTGAGAGGCTAAGAGAGACAACTAAACTCCTTTGCAAAAAGAAAAGGAAGAGCATCAGTAATACGGGGGGCGGGGGTCAGAGTCATGAAAAGAAGAACGAGGCCAGTTGGCTATGGTCCAACGTGAGGTGGAGGGAAGAGACTGTCCTTGAATGGGGACCGGTAACACATTCTTCTGCGTGGTGTGGGACGTCGTGACTCGGTGACATCTTCGGTAAAACGTAGACCCTCATTAATGGGATGTTTCAGGTTTACTTTTTCGGGGATGCAGCTAAGTATTGAGTCGTACTTTGAGGTGGGCACAGGGGTGAGCACAGAGACTGCCCTGTGACACGCTCCTTTCTACTCCTCTGGCCAGAGCAGCTCCAGTGGCCATATCCAATCGCAAGATCCATGAATTGTATTCGTCTCCTAAGAGGAGAGTTATTCGCATCTATCTCAGCCTCCAGGACTGGAAGCACCTCCAAGTCAGTTGGTTCTTAAGCGTCTCAATGCCGCTAGTCCCTGCACTGTGTTTGGCACAGATAGGGTACTCAGCGAGAGCATATTGCGTAAAAGTGTCTCTGTAGATTTGCCTTATTTTTCCCTCGCCACCATCCTCAGTCCAGATTGTACCTGGGCTGTTCCAGCATCTTCTCCGTGGCTCCTAACTTTTCGAGTTTTCCCGTTGCACATGCGCCCTGCATTCGATGACCCTCATCCCTGATCTCCAGCACCGCTTTGACTGGAGCTTGCACCGATGTCTCAAATTTCAGCAGTTCTGTTCGTCCCTTCTCGGAAGTCTTCGAGGGGTCCCCGTTGCCTAGAATCACGTCTACGTTCTTCATCTTGAGGTTCAAAGCCACAATAATTTCTAAAGAGATGACAAGGACTCAAGTGTGTAGAAAGCTCTCGCAGACCGTTCGCAGTGATGCAGTGTGCTAGCCGGGGTTGTAGTCATGACCGCCCCCTCCCGCCACCCAATACACAATCAGAGGGCACTTTCCCGCCCCCCTGAGCTTCAGTGCAGGCACTGGATTTGCACTGGCCAAAGACGTACAAATGAATGTGTCCCTGGATGGAAGCTTCCGATGGTTTGCCATCCTCCTCTTTCTGCAGGACTGACGTGGCAACGACACTCTATCGACACATCTCCTGAGGCGAGAACCCCACAGAGGAAACCCCCTTGGCTGACTCAGACAGGCATGTGGTAGCAACTGCTGTTCTCATTATGAAACAGAGGAGGGAAGGAGGGCGGGAGCCTAAATCACTCGCCCGGGTCATTCGGCTGTTCAGGGGTGGAACCAGGATCCCTCCGGCTCCAGAGAAAGACCTTGTCACCAGTGCAGCCCCATTGCTTCCTCCAAGAAGACACCTAGGCAGAGTGAAAAGCACGAAAGCTTTATTGTCAGATGCGGTTCAAACGCCAGCTTTGCTGTATACCAGGGACTCTCAGTTTCTCCATCTATAAAATGGTAACGACAACAAACAGCAACAATGAACAACAGTGTGTCTCGTAAGTGTGGGAAGGGCAGAGTGCCCTGGCAGGCCCACAGGAGGGGCTTGGCGTAGGTCAGTTAACCTCGTCTCTCTTCCATTGTCAGGCTTTCCTCTTCGTTCCCGGCGACCACCACAATCACTCACCACTGATTATAAACCCTGCTCCATCCCCTCCTCTCGCCCCTCTCGAAGCCCAGCGTTTGCACACGGCCTCCTCCCGTACGCTTTCCTGCTCACATTCTTTCCCCCAACCTTGGAATTGCACAAGCACCCGACGTTTAATCGGCCACCCATTTTTAACTGTTTCTCTGGCAAGTACTTCTCTCTCCAATCACCCTAGACATACCTGGAGGTCGCTGACCGGCCTCATGCCTCTCGTGTCCTTCCCTGAGCTTGGCCTGGCCCTGTTCTGTCTCTCTCTTATTGAGTGAGTGACTTGGGGCACATCCCTTTTCATCACTGTGCCCAATTCCTCCCCTGGGCACTGGCAGAGTCACCGGAGGAGCTCCGGGTGCTCTCCCACTCACAAACACTAGGCGAGTGTCACAAGTGGACCGAGTCTGCAAATAGGAAGCGACCCAAGGGTCCTGTGAGAAGAGGTCGGCTTTCCTCAGCACCTCTGTGCTCCAGACATGGTATGCAGCGCCCAGCTGTTTCTCCAACTGTCAGAAGGACCCTAGGACGTGGCGTGTTTACAGAGGAAGAACACAGACTTTGGAGGGATTCAGGAGCTTATTTGGCAAAGCTGGCTGAGAATGATTTCCAATTAATCGTCAAATATTTATGTGTGAGGGACGGTGCTAGGGATCCAGAAATAAGGCAGATCTGTTCCCTGGCTTCGGAGAGCTCGCAGCCCAGCTGACGAGGGAGATATCCGACAATCGTTCTGTGAACCCTCTTCCTGGCATCTCATTCTCGTACCATTATATTCCATGTATGAGAAGCACCATCATCCTGGCGGTTCCCTGTAATCCCGCACCTTTCATGGATGGTCACCAGGTGAGTCTACGCACATTATCTCATCGACGCCTTCATTGGGAAGAAGAGGTATTATTACTGTTCACTGATATGCCCGGCATAGTGCGTGACACACTATGGTGGCAATTAAGTTTTAATCGAATGAATTTTCATTTTATAGATGAGGCACCCAGGGGCTTGCCCGTACCAGTGGGAGATGTGAAGCTGGGACCCAAGGTGAGAGTGCGTTTTGCTTTTCCATGTTACTTCTCAAAAGACACCAGCATTTTGCGTTTCCCATTTACCCTCACCCCCTCGCCAAAATAAGCACATTTCTTGTTTTTCAGCGCCTTCTCAGCCACCCACCAGGCAGGTGACTTCCCTGGTTGATCCAGCCAACCGCAGGCCCATGATATTCCTATCGTGTGTAGAGAGACGAGCAATGGGGACCACGGTCCTTGGAGACCCTCATCAGGGGGAATGAGAACCCCGTCCTCGGCTCCCTATGCCTGTGGCCAAACCTTTAGTTTCTCTGGTAGAGAACTTCGACTGAAAACCTGAGGAAACACCTTGAGAAAGAACACGACATTCCCGCTCTACCCGCAGGATAAGACGTGAGACAGCGCCACCGCAGTAGCCTCTTACAAGCCAAATTACATGAGCTAAGAAAAATCAGTGCTGTGAATACATCCGATTCATCGAAATACAGAGATGGTTGGCTTCCAACCTCCCTGATTCTAACCTAGCAACTCTCACCGTAGACGCCTTCGTCCAGCCTGATGCGCTTGGGAATTTTGTTTTCGGTGCGCGTCTCCATGTAAATCTTGAAGATTTCCTCACTGCAGACCATTATCTTGCTTGAGATGTCTGGAGCTCTGTTGGATAAGTTCGTGTTTTAAACCTTAGTCTTCTCATGCAAGTCGTAATGAAAAACATCTTTTCTTCTGCTCTGACCTTATAGAACGGAATCTCCACGCAGCCGCCCACTCATTCATTCACTCAGCAAGCACGGACTGAGTACGACCATGTGCCAGGCAAGGTGCTTGGCACAGCAGAGACAAAGCTCCTAGCCTAGTAGGAGGGTATTGGGAGATGGGCCAGTGACCAGGCAATTGGAGTACAGGCCACCACACCCGCCCGCCCTTCACCCCAAGAAATGCTCCTGGTGAATCAAAACAAGCCCAGTCATTGGGGAGAACCTCCACATCCAGGCTCTGGAGTGTGAAAGGCCCTGGGCTGTTTTTCACCAGAAACTGTCAAGATTGCTTAAGTTTCTTTTTATCTTTCAAAATGAAGAAATCTGTGCGTACGCTCTGGGAACAGGGAGCCACACAGCTCCCCAGACAGTGGCCGAGGGATGATTCACTCCCTAGTTGGGTTCGTCGGCAGCACGTGGAGCTGGCAGAGACGCACACACAGCCCCAAGCCGCCCCTTATCTCGCCTTCGTTTTAGGCCTCTTGAAAAGTCGATATCGCCTTGAGAATCGAGAAGCCATCCTTGCCATTTTTATAAACGGTTCTGAAAGAATCGAATGTATGGATGTCACACTGGCTCTTCTAGGCTAAAAGCCAGAAAGATACGAAATTATCCTGACACGAAGTCACCCTGAGACCGGAGGGCGACATATCGTGGGGCACCTGCCTCGCTGTGCCGCGCTTGCCCTTCTGGCTTCTCCGACATCGTCGTAACGGGTTCTCCATCTTTAATCACCTCTTTTGAACTCTCTGCGTTAGCTCTGTGTATTTAATTCCCATCCCCACCCCTACCGCCTGAACTGGACACTGGACTGGTACACTTGGGCTTGACAAAAGTGAGGGGACGTGGCTACATTCTTATACTGTTCATGGGAATGAAAATGGTTGCCAAAAAATTTTTTTTGGCAGGCAGTTTGGCAATATTTTGCAGGATCTTTTTTAAAAAAGTGTGTTCTTGCCTTATCTTTTAGAGATACAAGTGGAACTATTTATGAATGAAATGATGTGTGTCTGGGATTTGCTTCAAAGCGGTCCAGGGAAGAGGATAATTGTGACCTTTTATAGATGAAACAAGACTGGCCATGAGCTGATTGTTTAAACTGGGTGAAGGATACTTAGGCATTCACTGTACTTGTCTCTTATGAATGTTTGAATTTAAAAAAAATAAAAAGTTTTTTTCACAAGTAAAATGTTGGACCTTTCAGTCCACTTTCTGGGAATTTATCCTAAAGAAAAAAATTTCTAATGTTAAAAAAAAAGATTTCTCTGTAAGGATGGTTTCTAACAACATTGTTTATAATAACAAGCAATCAGCAACACTCTAATTTGCCAATAGTGGATGGTCCTACCGTAATTTATAATAATTCATACTCTGCATCCTATTTAGGCTTAAAAAGATGTTGCGAACAAGCATATCATAAAAAGTATTTATGATTTCTTTGTACATGACAATTTAAGTGAAAAAACAAGTTATATAAGCATGTGATATTATCATCCAATTAAAATATTTTTATTTGCATCTAGAGGAGGATGCGAGGGCTGTACACGCAGGTGGAAAGTGTTCTCTCTCAGTAGATGCAGTTGCCTTCTTTTCTTGTATTTGTATTTTCCAGTTAGTTTGTTGCTGGTCTTGTTATTTTATATATTTTGAATTACTGAAATTCAAATACTTTTGAATACATTACTTTTGAATTATCAAAAATGAATGGCACGTTCTTTCTTCCTTATCCCTCTCTTCCTTCATGTAATGCCCCTTTTTAAATTGACGCTCCTCTTGTCGAATGTGTGTGTGCCTTGAGTTAGGGAGGGAGGAGCGGGTCACGCTTTAGCTTCTTTCTAGCAAATGCCAGTTATCTGTTAACCAGTGCCAGGCAGGACTTATGAGAAAATGAGCACAGGTTTGGGACAGGAGAAAAGAGAAAAGGGGGTGCTAAGGAACATGGAGGGCCACAAAACCTTCCACACTTGGTTGATGCCATGTTTATGCGGGATCAGGGCTGCAGAGGTGAGGGGATGCTGATGGCAGAGAGAGGTGCTGCCTGTTACAAAACCTTCCACACTTGGTTGATGCCATGTTTATGTGGGATCAGGTGAGGGGTTGCTGATGGCAGAGAGAGGTGCTGCCTGTTGCTGGCCCCTTCACGTGCTCCAGCTGTCCTGGCCTTGTCCCCTCAGACATGTTCTCTGTCCATGGGACACTAGTCCTCCCTCCTGGAACCAGCCTCTGTTTGCCTTCACACTCCATTCCCGACACCTGCCCTTCAGCACAGCAATGTCTCCGTATCGAGTGATGCTCCCTTATCAACATCTGCCACCCACATGCTGACCCACTTTTGACCACGTGGTTTAAACATAAAGATAAATAACCAAGCACCAAACTATGGGCCAGAAACGCCATAAGGAGCTTCATAAACGCCATCACGTTCAGTCCTCCCAACTCCCTGCAAAAATGATAACATCTCCTCATTCCTCAGACAAGGGACTGAACGAACTTGCCCAGGGCCCCTCAGACAATGGGGGCCGGTGGTTTCAAACCCGGGTCTCTGTTCTTTCTGCTACGTGGTCACGTCCGTATTTATGCCTGGGGTGTGAGCTCTGCAGGCGGGCTGCCTGGGGAGCCTGCCTCTTGTTAACTCCGACTCTAGCAAATGCCAAACCTCCCTGCACCCCTGTTTTCTTATCTGCGGGACAGTCTTTGCAAGAGGACGGTCATGAACATGAAACGAGACCATTCCGGGAAAGCACTCTGAACAGTGCCCAGTGGAGTGGATCCCGACCTTGGCTGCACATTACAATCACCTGCGAAACGTAAGAAATCCCTGAGCTGCCCACCTGTGTGGTTCTGATGTTACTGGTCTGGGAGCAGCCTGGGCACTGGGGTTCCTAGAGTCCCCCAGCTGATTCTAGCCCGCAGCCAGGGCTGGGAATCAGTGTCCCTAGCACACAGGAAGCATCCCATAAGTGACCATTTTGTCGCGTCTGGCCCTCACACCGGCTCCTCCTCTGGAGCTGACCCCTTGCCTCGCCTGGTTCCCAGAGTCCGAGGCCGCAGCCTCGAGCATCCCCGATAACAGTGGTGTCCATTCTGGGCAGCTCGTCTGGGTTCGCAGAGGCTTGCTTTTGACAAACCCCAGCCCTGGAGCCCTCACTGTAGATGCGAGGAAGATGAGGAGGAGGAGCCGCGGGAAGTAAACTGGAAGGCGGGTTAAGGAAACCTTGAAGGTTGCCCTAAAGAACTAGCTTTGTCCTCAGTTTCCTCCTAGTGTGTGGAATGTGCTTCTGTTTGGGCTGTAAGTGCAGGATGGGTTCAGGGTTACCAGGCGGAGGGTGGTCTTCAGGAGGTGGCTGGGAACAGCCAGGCTCCATCTGCCACTCAGACCCTTGGCACTGTATGTCTAGAGCCTCATGTACCCTTTCTAGAAACTCACCTTCTTATTCCTCTCTCAACTGCTTGGCTCATCCATTCATTCATTCACTTATAACAAAATCTTGATGAGAATCCACTGTGTAAGGACTATGCTTCAGACTTTAATTAAATCATGTCTAATTTTTATTGGATGGACACTCTTAGGCACATTTTAAGAAGGGAAACCTGAGGCTTTGACAGAAAATTAATTTGTCTCAAGTAGAAACTCAAGCCGAGTTTTCTTTTACTCTGAAGCTCCTAATCTTTACCATAATTTCTCTCCTCTTTTATTTACTCCATCAATATTTATCGAGGATCGATTACGTGCTAGACTGTGCCCTAAGGGCCGAGGCTATCATGATAGACACAATGGAGACCGTTTTTGCTGTATTATTAACCACATACCAACTATCTGATGAAAACGCTCCCTGATAACCCACCTCAAACTCACCAGTTCCCAAAACAGCCTTTCCGTAGATATTCCTCCCCACACTACATCCGGATCCCTCACTTCTCGGGGCTTCATGAGGTTTTCTTTCATATTGTCGATGAACTATTTTCGAGTGAGAGATTTCAAGGTGAGCATTATGGTGACATGAAGGTCAACACCCCGGAGGATGGCAGGCCTCATGTTTGAGTCGGATGCTTCAGCCCTAGAAACTTATGCCTCCTTTGCTTGTTCTGCCAAAAACAATTTAGGAGGGAGGCTGGGGAAGGAGACGGAAGGGAAGGAGGCCAGGTGAGATGTGGTGGACTCCAGAGATTCAAGCCAGCACTGGCGTGGGTGTGAGTTACAACACAGAGCCCGGCCGCGGGAGGGAAGGGGCCCTCTTTCTGCTGAGATGTAGTTGTATAAGGAACACGAGACATTCCCACTCCCGAGTGGCTCTCACGGATGCAGACTTGCCATCCTACAGGACCTCTTACCTACCTGAAAACTTCTTGTCTCTTGCTATCGAGGGAGGATTGTATCTCAAGAACACACACACACACACACACACACACACGCACACGCACACGCACACGCACACGCACACGCACACGCTGGCGCTTCCATTTTGATAAAATATGGAGAGGTAAAATACGGAGCGCCAAACTGGAGAATGACTAACGTATAGTCAGTTTTGTCTCTACATATATTTTTACTTTGTTCTTAAAACATCCCCTTAGGTTGTGACTCTGACAGACGACGGAGCGGGAATGGCAGGTTTAGCGTCTGGAACTTTTAAAGAAGGTCCCGTTCACTTATGGTTTGCTTCACGTCCAAAAACCACACATGTCACTTTCTTCTCATCGAGTGGAGAAAATTATGAGCTTCAGAGGCAGAAAGAGCTTGCGGACCTCCAGGCCTGGGGTTCTCAGTTACAGGCTGTGCCTGTTGTGTCTTCGTGACCCTGGCAAGTGGATCAGCTTCTCAGGGCCTCAGTTTTCTTATCTAGAAAATGAGGACAATGACATCTATCAGACAGGAGTAAATAGGAGACAGGGGCAAAGCCACTGGTGCATAATAGGTGATCAATAGCGCTTGTCTCTCTTTGCTTATTGTATTAGAGAGAGAGAGAGAAGCCTCACACTTTGAGATTTTTGAGATTCCACAACCGGTCTGGTGCTCTGGACTTTGTGTCGGACACCTACTATGTAAGCACTAGGTGGAGCTCTAGGTGCTCCAGATTTATTGACCAATGTGTGTCTTACGACAACTCTTAAACATGCTTTCATTTCCCCCATTGTCAAGATGAGCCCATTGGAGTTCAGAAGAGTTAAATAATTGAGCCGGAGATCTTGGCTGAGAAGCGACAGACAAACCCCTAGTCCCGTTCTAGCTGACTCTGCCATGTAGGACACAAGCCTCCTCCAGTGTTCTGCCAGCGGCCAGAGGCTGTGAGGGACCTAGAAGAACCATCAGCTCCATGGAAGAGATCCTGAGAAGACTTCCCATTGGGTCGAGTCTGGTCAGTTCTCCAACATTTACACCATCCAGACCAGAGCAGGGTTATTATTTAATGGACCCTGGAAATGTTTTCCTATTTCCAGGACTATGTAGAGTGGAGATGTCTGAGTTGGGGAGGGGGGCAGAGGGCTGACAATCTCTGCAGACTTTAAAGGAAAATGTCGTTCCCTTGGTGTGGCCAGAGGGACCGCGGGAGGGTCTGGGATGTTGGTTTTGTTTTCCTGAGGTTGGGGCAGGGTTCACAGATCAGGTCCTGGGCCCCGTCCTGCAATGACACTGTGATCGTTGATACTTCTGGACATGCCAAGTACGCACCATGAAAAGAGGGATTTTTCCCCCCTTTTTTGTTTGCTATTATTTCCTTCCCCAAAATCCATGCCTGGCACATAGTAGGAGTTCAAAGCTTATTAATTAATTTCAGGGCACGTGCACTGAATGTTCCCGCTGTTTAGAACATCCTTACCCCAGAGAGTCACCTGGCTCGGTTCCTCACTTCATTTAGGTCTAGACTCAAAAGTCACCTCCATAGAGAGGCCTCCGGAACCATCTCATCTAAGACCGAGAATCCTCCATCACTTCTACCCACTTCTCGTCCTTTACTTTCTCTCGTTTACACTTGTGTATTTGTGAGTTTATCGTCACTTTCCCTGCCGCCAGTCCCACGGAGGCAAAGCATCCATCTCTTGTGGATTGCTGTACCCCCCGCTCCTAGAACAGAGTCTGGCTGGGTCTGTGCTCAATAAATGATGTGCTGAATGTATGAGTGAATGAATGAATACATGTGTGTACTCCATGGGGAAAGGCGAGCACAGTATCTGGACATAACAAGTGAGAGGTAGTGTGCTGATGATGTTAGTGGTGATATTCGAAGGTACTCTGAGGTCGTCATGTTCTGAACTGGCCACTGACAATGCTCAGTGTAGGCGCTGGTAGAATGGCAATTGCAAAATTCTGTTCTTCCGCCCCACTGCCCTTTCCTCCCTGCCGCCAGCTCTAAAGAGACTCTAAGAACAGTGCTTTTACCAACTTTAGCACCTCGTGGTTTGTTCCTTGTGGAATTGTGACAAGGCATCTTTATTCATTAAAACACTTTCAGGTCTTTCGTACTAACATGTAAATGACTAACAGCGGTGTCCCCCTGCGTCTCACCACATTCCAGCCACACGGCCTCTCCCATCTTCTCTGATTTTCTCATATCTTTGCTTTTATACATGCTGTTATCTGCCCGATGTTCCTTCATTCTTCCCCATTTCCTACCTAAAGGCACTCTCTCCATATTCCGGCTTCAAGGTCACTTCCTTCCTGAAATTCATCCTCAGATCTTCCAGCAGTTTCTGCCTCCTCTCCCTGATTTTTCATGCTGCCCTCCTCCCATCCTTTCCATTGGAGTCTTTATCACAGGGCACTGTGCTCACTCAAGCCCCTCTCGTCCAGGGCAGAAATGAGCTCCTCAAGGTCAGGGCTCCTGCATACGGTGGCTGATAAATGCCAGCTCTGACTTGAGTCAATGGTAGGTGTTCATTTCACCTGTGGACTTGGCTTACAGACGTCCTAAGTTCAAATCCTGCCTCCCCTCCTGCTATCTGTGAGACGCTAACAGGTGTCTGAATGACGCTAACAGGTGTCTGAATGACACCATGCCCCATGTGTCTCACTTGAAATCACCTCGGTAATCTCCAAACGCCACGGACCAATGGATGAAGGTATGAAGATAGGAGTCTGGAGTGGGTCACTTATGGGATGACTTGGGATGGGTGGGGCACAAGAAGCCATTCTTTAGATTTTTTTTTTGCACTGACATATGGGACTTGTTTATGATTTCTTTGGAACTAGACCTAGAGAAACCAAAAATGGTTGAATATACTTATGAAAATTGCACAGAGCTTTATTATTCTTGTTAATTCAGCAGAAAGTGATTCGCACTGAAATCATCCCTCTGGCTCATTCAGCCCAAAGACTGGTTGTTACTGCTCAGATACACACAGTTTTGCGGGCCGTGGAGACACTGAGGCAAACGACCTCTGAAAATCACACCTAGGGGAATGAATATAAAGGAAATTCCAAAACACAAAAGCAAAAATTACAAAATCTGTTCAAATACTCTGCCACGTGCCCGTAGCACAAACGTCCATCTTACAGGGAACTTGGAGGGTTTTCTAGCACAATGAAGGGCTTTGACATGACCCCGTCTAACGGACTCTGTTCCCTTTTCACCTCATTAGCATGAAATGCCCTGAACCAGGGTGATGAAGAATTTGCAGAGAGCACTCCAGGATTCCCCACAGAACTCCAGTGCTACTTTACTCTGGTTTACCATGTCTGGGTCCTCCACACACTTGGGATCGTCGGTGGCCACGGTCTTGGCCTCTGCTGGGCCAGAGAGGGCATTGTCTTTGACCGTGACCTTCTCTTCGGGGGCAAACTTTTTGACTTTGTTAGGCTCCGTGATGGAGGCCTCATTGGCCGTGCTCTGCTCTGTGGGAGAGGGGTCCATTGACTCCTGGTTGGGTTTCTTCCTAATCAGAGTGGAGTTCACCAGCTTGAGATTAGATTCCGGAAACTTCTTTCTGCACACCCTGGTCATCAGGATGCTCTTGGAGTCCCCGCAGATGACCTTCTGAGAGCGCAGGTTCCGGCCAATTTGTTTCCAATAGACGCTCTTTTGGGTCGACTCCAGGCACGAGGTCGGATTGCCCGCAAAGAAGCAGGAAAACGTCTCATCCTGTCGGGTGCACTCGACCTTCAGGACCACGCCCTCCTCCTTCTCAGTCACCACCCATCTGCAGCTGGCCTGGTCTTGGGTGACAAACTTGCCTTTGGTCAGGTGCTTGGGCGGCTGGCTTTTTTCCTCAATGTGGGCCTTGCCCAGAGTATGCATTTTATCTGTGGCGGCTTTGCTGACACGTCTATTCTTTACTTCCTTTTTGCCCCCCACCAAGAGCGCCTGAGCAGCCAGGAGGAGGAAGGACAGCAGGGTGAGGCTGTGGATTCTCATGTCTTCAAATGGGTTGGAACCTGTTTGACAAAAAAGGCAGGTGA